CGTACCAAATTATTAGAAAGGTTTAGTAAAATTCCCAGAATTGAGCAAACAAAACGTTTATTAATGTTGCACGTGAATGTTTATGACCAAAAGAAGCTAATAAATAAGATAATCAAACAAATAATAACAGATACAAACAAAGGCACAGTTTTAAACAAATTAATAGGGAATGTGCTTTCCCTGTTTTGAAATTACTTGAAATCGACGATCCATGAATTTGTTAATTGTAGGATGCCATCCGCGAGATATGTCAAGAATTGCTTCACACAACTCAGCGTTGCTCCTGAATTGTCGTCCGTTGGCGTACAGTCTTCGCTTCATGATGCTCCAAAGGTTTTCGATTGGGTTCAAATCCGGGGAATTTGCTGGCCACTTCATTTTTCAAGGTCCATCGAAGCCTAACTGTTTCAAATATTCAGTAATCTTGTGAGCAGCATGTGAGGGAGCATTATCTTGCATAAAAACAATGGTCCTTCTGAAGGCAACTCTTTGCCTTTTCATCCACGGTTCAAGATGCTCCTTCATAAAGGTCATTTTGACGCCATCCATCTGGTACTCTCTATGGGCCCACTAATGTTTTTCCAATAATACCACCCCAGGTCTTTATGCCTCCACCGCCTTGTTGGCGTCCCAAACGCTGATGGCGATTCTGTCCGTTCATTACCCAGCCTTTGCACCATCTATCTGGCCCATCAAGTGTTGCTCGAGTTTCGTCTGTGAACAAAACTTTAGAGAAGACAATCTTCATATTGTCCTCGGCCCATTTCAATCGATTTTGAATGTGATTTCTCGTCAACGGAGGCTTCGATACAGGTTTGACTGTTGTTGCTGTTTCCCTCAGATACCGACACCGAGTACTTTTAGACACAGTAGAATCCCCAATGCGACTGAAAAGCTCTTGACTGGGAAGTCCAGGTTTCTTCGTGGCCTCTCGTTTAAGTTGTGACATGAGACGACGTGAAATAACCCTCGGCTTGCCTTTATCTGCCCTTTTACGTACTTGTGAACTTTTTCACTGTTTGATGACATCTCCCTATCATTTTAGAAATTTCTAGGGTAGATTTACCTTTTGAGAGTTCTGAGGTGATAGTTTTCTTTTCAGGATCATTTAACTGCTTTTACGGCCCATCTTTTCACTAAATTCTTACACTTTTCTTATAATTTGTCACGCTCAAATCACCGTGCTGATAACAAATATGGCGTCAGTTTGTTTACATTGGGCAGATCAGTACGAAAATTCTAGTGATTGCGCAGGTCAGTGTTGCTAACATTGTGCGAAAATTTTGTGTGAATTGATTGGACGATTTTTGAAATATTAGAAAAAAAAGTTATCATGATAACAATTTGGAACGCAATGTAAAGAATAAGAACGGCTGAACTTTGTATTCTGAAATGTATGTGCGAATATTATAATGGATCAGTCAGTTATGTGCCATGAGTGATACACGCTTAGGCGATAATGTATCTTTCGATACATGACTGACAAGGCAGATTTTTTCACACTGTAGTTTGCCATTTCTTTCTGTGGTAGACCGTTTGCCATCAAAGGCTATAGATCCCGATCTGTTCTGCTATTTACCCATAGTTGGTAGGATGAGAAGAGGATTCATACTTTTTCCAAGGGTATTGGCACATAAGTGAATGTAATGGATTTGACAGGAATTCGAACTCGGTTCTCGGATTCCTCAGTCTCTCTTCGCACTTTCACAGCGGAAGCGTGAATTTCATAATGGTAAGCAAAGAATGGACTTCAAATTGACTTGGAAATTTTGCGTCTACTTTACAGTTAATGTTCTGTGGAAATTAAGTAAACAACAGAATTTTTCTAAAACACATTCATTTCAGACGTTTGACAAGTAGTCAAAAAAAACCGTTAGTACAGTGTAACACAGTTTAATCTGTCACGCTGTTTCCAGCAGAGTTGGGCAAAGCTAATTAACCTCCACATACAACAGTTTTAGTAGTGTAGCTAGCGAGAAATTTGACTCAAGTTCTGGAGTCAAAATTGAATCGAAATGTCAGAAACCATGAACGAAAGTGACCTTTATGTCTTGAATATTTCACGCCTGTAAACTGACGTCTATCTTACGTTTGTTTTGAAATTCGTTAGTTGATATGCTAAGAAATCCGTACCATACTCTGAATGAATATAGAAAATAAAGTTTTCGTTTTATAAATCCATACATTTACCTTGAAAAAATCCATCAGAGGACGAAACGCACCGGTTAAGAAAAGTTTTCCTTTTGTCTATATATATATATATATATATATATATATATATATATATATGCATGTGTGTGTATAAATATAATATAAATAAATATAATATAATATAATATATATATATATATATATATATATATTATTATTATTATTATTAGTGGATAACTGTATTTGAAATAGACTCCCCATTTTTTTTTATTTTAAACAATGGGTATTGAATTACGCACTCGAAAAATCTCAAATGTGCTAGCCGCCAGTGTTTTATCTGATGTCCTTCTTTGTTGTAGAAGCAACTGTTTGATATCATAATATATATATATATATATATATATATATATAATATAATTACCTTTTGTATAAATCAATGCCTAGATAAATTCCACCTGGAAATCGATCAATTGTAGTATGTTTTATATGCATCTAGTCAGTAGAGCAATATTCTTTAAAAAAAACTATAATGTGAAACTGCGTAATAATGATCTTATCGAAAGCTATACCAAGTATTCTTTTATAATGAAGGTATCAAAACTATTTATTTCTTAATAAAGAGATATCAGAGAAACTCATTCATTTCCTTCTTTATTTAATGTCTTAATTGAACATTCATATTATTATATCATTCAAAAATCGATAGTTCTCAGCAAAATGATTTCTTGGGTAATTTGAGCATTTCCAGTTAAATTAAAATGAGGGAGAAATACAAAAACAAACTGGCAATTAATGAAAGTGCTCACGTTTTGCCGGTCTAAATTAATATTGAAATCAGCACGTCTTTTCCTTTTCGTTATCAAAAGTTAATTACATGAGAACCTTTCTAGTAATTAGTTTCTTCAGATCTGATTTAAAAATCTGGGATAGACAAATGTCGTTTAAAAGACGCACAATAGATGCCTATATGTTTATTTCTGAATTCTAAGTAGATAAAAACAACAGTTTGTTTTATGATGTGATACCTAAATGTTATCATATCATCTCGATTCACTTTCTAAAATAAGACCAACTGAAAAAATATTTTTTTGTTGTTTTTCTTTTTAGGACCTCTTTGGTCGGATCAAAATACCCTAGTGCTATTCTAATCAAACATTTTTTTTTTTTTTTTGTAATTACTTTTCATTAGATGGTTTTAGAAGCATTTACTTTTAAGGAACTTCATTAAAATGTCACTTTTGAATGTATTTTGACAGCCGACTTGTCAGTTTGTTTTTTGGTTTTTTTTTAACTTAATGGAAAATTGGCTTATTTCTCATTGTTAGAATTAACATTAAAGATGGAGGGAAAATAATCAGAATTTTCATTACAATTACGCATTTTATTTTAAGAAAAGTAAAAATACGAGTTGGGCACGAAAAAACGATTAGTATTTATTTTTCATTGCTGTGGCACTCTGAAGGACGGAACGCGTAAAAAGAGAATTGGTTCAGATTACTAGCGCTCCCAATTAGGCCTTTTAAAAAGCAGCAATCAACGGAAGAATCTGTAATTAGTAAAAAAAAAAAAAAAAAAAAAGAGAGAAAGCGTAAAATTTGATCAGGATAACGCTGATCGTGAATAATCTAAAGATTTCATTTCTTGGTTTATAAATTTTCATTCATTCGCCGTATACATCAAATATGTACATTTTATTCTAATCTTAACAAAGCTGGGGTAATGAAAACAACTCCAGTTCCGTGAAAAAACTGCCAAATATACCTTCAGCAAGTCTTGTCAAAGATAAAACCTTCTGGTTGGATTAAATTATGAAGTTGCTTGTAACATCACATAAGATAAAGTAAATATGTTGTTCAGTAAAGGTATCGTCGAAAGTAAAATGAATGCCATTTTTATTTGATAATAGGACTTATTTTTTACGTTATATAATGGTGTAATCTAACTTCTACTAATGGTTGTTTTCGTGTATTCCTAGGTAACCGATTACGCAAGGGGGAAAATGCGAAAATGCAGTTTACATTGCATTTAAGTTACATTCCCAATATGCACAACAATTGAAATAATTACGTTTTTTCATACACGCACAGCCGCGGAGACTAAAGAATTCGACCTATTGCTCTTCTAATTTATCATTCCCGAATCGTTTCACTCAGAAATGAGGAGCCCTTAATTTTTCTGTTATTTAAGGAACATATAAGTGATAACTGATTATGGAACTACCATGTATAGTATTCCAAATTCTTACGATTTGTTTGATGCTTCTTAATCGTTACTTTCATGCCATGATAAATTCAAAAGCCTTTACGCACTCTTATGGTGGAGGATTTCCACTCTGCCAACACTGCTCTATAGACGCAATATTGCAAGCCTATCATTGATATATCTCTATTTCCAATGCAAATGTTCGACTCTTTAATTCTCTCAGTTCAGACCTCTTTGCTAGGATTCGCCTTGATAGTTCCAGGCAGTCGAATCAACATAATTACCTCCCTATTCCAAATATAATATCAAAGTATCACTAGGAGGACTTTACGAACTTTCCCCTTTTGGAAGAGAACCCATCAAGATTGCGTTTCTGATAACTTCAGTCTTGTCCTCTTTAAGTCAAGGTTATCTTTCCTTTTTATCCTCATACTCTTACTTCATATAAACATCTCTTCCATTTCTGTTACACACTTGGTTCATTACAAGTATTGTAGCATCAAACCTCTAATTTGAATGGCTCTCGAGCCTTGCATTAGGGAAATTATAGTAAAAACATCATATGAAGGAACAATAAAAATTGGAAACCATATAAACGAAACATTAATTAATAACTTCCTTTAAAGTGTTTAAAGTGACATTTGGAAACCATATCATGTTGAAACACTGGTTCCTGTGCGATCACCGAAGTTAAGCCACAACGAAACTAATCCGTACCTGGATGGGTGACCGCTTGGTAATACCAGATGATGTAATCTTGGAATTGCGTGCGGGTGGTGTAATAAATAATGAGTCGGAATTATTAATCATAGAGCCGAGTTCCAATTCCAGTTGGATTTGTTATATTCACTTACGCGCTAATACTCTTGTGAAAACTATGAATTTACCTCTTCTCCTTTTAGCTATGGGGTAGTTATTAAGAATTGTATCACTGAACTATTATTATCTAAAAAAACATTCTTACAATCTAAAATATTTTCTGGCTTTAAATAACCTACTACTGATTGAAATTGATAAACCGTAGAAAAACGAAACAATCAATTGGAAAGGATATAGCAACAAAGATACTGTTTTTAAAAAAATTCACGTTATTCATAAACGAAGTAATGATGACGAGTTGTTGATTGAAACATATATTATTGAGATTAAAACTCTTGACGTTGCTCAGAACTGAAAAAATTGAATGACGAAGGATTGAGTGAAGAGTTGAAATACTATTTTTCTTGTGAAACTTGTTTATGAAAAAGTTCATGTATCTGATGTACAGTTAGAGGTGAGGTCATACTGTACATCAGGTACAAATTAAGAGAAATCTGCTTCCTATTTAATTGATATCTCTTCGTTGGCAACAGATACGGTATCAGCTTCTTAAAAGATTTCAGAATATTCTTGCTGATTTTTCGTTGTTTTCGATCTTGAACAATACATGTTTATCGTTGCATCGCTAAGCCATAGAATTGTACATTCTATTCAGGCAATTATATGAAATCGTATGAAAGAGATCATATTTCAAACTCGATATTGCTGGGAAGTCAATGCAATTAGAAAATCTATTATCGTGTCTCTTCTTCCAAGAAATTCAAGTCAACATAAAAATTACTTTCTGAGCCAAGCTGAGTGTATTCTCATAGACAAGTTAAAGAACAATGCCTGAAGCCATGTGACTAATAAATATATTGCAAAACAATCTGCTTTCTGAGTTCAGCAAGAATGTTCTGCGTTAAGATTCATGTAGTTAAACTAAGCCCTCCTCAATAAGTGTGTAAAAACACAAGCAAAATTATGCCAAAGGTACACCGGATACATGATACATAATATCCGATCACTTATAACGGAATATGAAGAAATGGACAAAGATTATATCATTATGGAAGAACTAGTTGCTCAGCCTAAAGGTTTTTTTTTAAAGATTTACTGACCTTTATTTTAATTTGAAGGTTTTATAAGCATTTAGATTTAACGAGCTTCATTTAAAAAGTGGTTTTAGAAGTAATTAATTTTAACGTGCTTAATTCATAAAAGTCACTTTTGAATTTGGGGAAAATATTGTTATGACACACATCCTGAATTTGATCTTATCATGTCTTTATATTTACGATGCCATTTTAGTTTTTAGAAAATAATATTTTAATAATTTTCTGTATATTCAGTAGATATTGACTTGAATGAAATTTACTGGAAATAAACCGCGGAATCGAGTAAGTATACAAAACAGAAATAGGCGGAAAGCAACCGTATTTATTTAACTAACATAGCAATGAAGTTCTAATATGAGGAGAAGTCCAACCAGGGGGACACAATATTAGCAACATAAAAAGATGACGCTGTGGCCATCGCAGATGCAGAAAAAAATTGCAAGAACTAGCCAATTTAATAATGGAAAACAGGAAGAAAAAATACCATCGACTGTGATAAGACATATGGTTGTTAGCAAAAAGTGCAATGTAAGACGAGAGCGATGATTTGGAAACGGCAAAATTCAAATATACAAAAGTTTTAATATCTGGTAACTGTTTTAACAAGCGACGGAAACTGTGACAGCGAAACCTGAAGAAGCATTGAAAAATGGCTTCCGAATGGTAAATGCTATATTTAAAAAAAAACAGAAACATTTCGGTAGAATCAAACAAAAAAAAAAAAATTAGGGAAGGGGGTTTGGAGAATTTTAACCTCACAGGACATATTGAATTCCAGTGTAAATCAACTCGCAGCCGCATTAGAACGGGACTTACAATCATATTGCAATAACATTTCTACGTTCAACAAGAAACTTCCGGAAACCAAACAGTTGTAATCTCTATCTATAAAAGGCAGGATGTGTGTGTGTGTGTGTGTGTGTGTGTGTGTGTGTGTGTGTGTGTGTGTGTGTGTGTGTGTGTGTGTGTGTGTGTGTGTGTGTGTGTGTGTGTGTGTGTGAAATGCGCGTGCGTGCGTGCGTGCGTGTGTGTGATGAATGCATGGCCGCAATGTTCGACGGATTTCCACCAAAGTTTACATGCACATGCTCCAAGTTAGTGGGAAGACCAAGACTGACTTTTCATTTCCCAACTCCCATCGATAGTGGGAATCGATTTTAATGCGACGGCAGTTTTCATGTAGTTTGCGGTCATTTTGTACTGGCCAGAGTGAGAGCCTATAGCTGGCTGCAACGAATAGGCAGGAAAATTCTAGTGGCCAGCGTGAGAGCCAACAGCTCACTGACACGAATGTTAACTAGCATGCAAAAAAAATCGATAGCTGCATTCGTCACAAGTGGGAAAAATTTAAATCTGCATAGCACTTTACTCCAATTAGCTCATTCGCTTGCTTAAACTCAACGTTGATTCTGATTCCGCAGAACTGGGTTTAAAAAAAAAAGTATTTGTTGTTAACATTCTTTTTTTCATTCGGTTTTTCCAGTTACGAGTCCTTTTTTTTTAAAGCTGATCGTTTTGTGTTCATTTTGTTTAGTTCTTTTTTCGTGATAGATTTAATGTTTAGTATAGATCTTGGAAAAATTCGCAGTGTGAGATAGGCAAGAAGTAAGGCATGTAGCAACATCAGCACGGCAAAGGGCACTCCTCTAAAGGCAAGGAAGGGCAAAAATATTTTAAGTCAAGTGATAGCGATTGCTGTATGGGTCGTACGATTTTTGAATCAAGCACAGGCAACGCCGGGCTATGCTGCTAGTAATGTATATTTTTATATTCACGGACGCAAATATTAGAATTAACCAACTTTATAAAAAAAAAGCAACAGTTTTTTTTTTAATTGTTTCAATCCAAGCAACCCGAGAATGTCACTAAGAGGAAGGTATAATGCTAATCTTAGCCGCTTCATTTATAAGTAAGCGTCCGGAATTCATTGACAGGGAAGTCTGTTTTAGTTTCGGTTGAGTTTTATATATCCTTTCTCTTAAAATAAGTTTGTAGGAAAATAGATTTCTCAAGTTCACTAACTGTTATAGCTCTTTCCAATGTCGTCGGGGGCTTCCTTCCTAAAACTTTGTTTGAGGTAATGGGAACGTCAACATGTTGATTATGTCATTAGTTTCTCTTCGTTTTACTTTAGTTTTTGAAAGTCTTGAAATGATGTGGTTTCTGTTATTTGCTATATTTATTTGTTTATTGTTCCGTAGTTCCATTTCACAAGATTCAAAGTCGCATGCTCCTCACTAAGACCTACAGGTTTTGTTCGCTCAAAGTCATTTTGAAATAATAACAGTATTTTTTTTATTTGATTTTCAAGGGAAGAAAATACATTTTAATTCTTACTAATCTGTGTTTCGAAACATTTCTTCAAATTTAACTGATGAATTAATAATTCTACCAAAAGAGGAAACTGACGTGGTCTTTTGTTATCTAGAAATTTTAGTTTTGATTTGGTTTCTTGGATGTCACATGAAAAATTGAAGAACATTTGCATTCGTAAGTTGAAGAGGTACAGTCATGTGATTAAAAATAAAATTAAGAAATGTGATTGAAAGGGTAAAAACCAATTAAAATTTGTAGGCGGATTTATCTTCATTCAAATTTCTACTACACAAAAAAAAAAAAAAATTAGATCTGTTTCAGATGGGGATAGCGAAATCCATTGAATCGTTTTAATTACTTTCGCAGAGCTGATAATCTCGGAATGGGAATTTTCATAGAAACGCACTCAGTCACGTTTACGCTTAAATAAGAAAACATGTACATTTAAAACCCACATTCTAACTCACAAGTATCAGAGACACAAGAAGACCAAAAACAGCATCGTTATTTTAATATTGGTTGATTTTGCTTAGCGGCATATCAACCTCAATGAGTTATTCAATACCGAAATTTCAATATTTTGTACACAATTGTATGCATTCAGTTATCTATACATATATTGTTGGTAATTTTAATATAAGTATGTATTGTTGGTAATTGTACTATACACAGTTATTGTTTGTATTTTTACTCTAAATATGTATTGTTGGTAATTTTACAATATAAAACTCTATTGTTGGTATTTTTACTATAAAAATGTATTTTTATAGTTTCATGGTATTTTGTTTTTGTTTGAGAGAGTTCACTATTTTCCCATATCTGGGACCCTAACGGTTGCTACCATCTCGAGTCGGTGTGGACCAGAGAACAATAACAATTAAGATGTACCCCTCAAATCCTTCCATGTCCCGATCAGAGACCTTGCTGCTTGATGTAGTTAATTGTCATACCCAAGACTAGTTATTGAAATGACTTCGAATTTGTCAAAAAATTGCGCAGTCCTGGATATGACGATAAACTCTAGGTTTGAATGAATAATGTTAGCAAAGAAATTGTACATGTGTCTAGCATTAAAGAAAGACATAAGACAAGGATTCATTCGATGCGGATTCCGAGATGAAATCCGGTCTCAAAATAAATGACAAACGCATGAATGAAATATAGCAAATAAATGTATTGACGTAATAATACAATTGGTAATACGGTTAGTAGATCCAGAAATGCGGTTAGTAGCAATAATATTTATTATATATATATATATATATATATATATATATATATATATATATATAGTTAGGAAATTCAGTATCGAAGTAGGACTTCCTTCTGAGTCTACGTGCTCTCAACTGTGTCTCCTACAAAGCGGTTACCTCACAATTCCTCACTGTATCAGTGTATCAGTGTATCTCTCTCTCTCTCTCTCTCTCTCTCTCTCTCTCTCTCTTCGATAGGTATTCACCGGCAGCAGTACAATTTTTCATCCAACTGGTCGAGTCCACTTGTATGAAAAAGGGGTGGACTCCA